AGTTCCCCCGCTTTGGATCCATTAGGACGGAGGGAGCCTGGCCCCCCCCCCCTCGGTGAGGCAAAAGGGAGACGTGTGCGAGTTAGTGTGCGGACAGGGAGCTGTCGAAAGTGTCCGAGGGAATAAAAGAGCCTGGTCCTGCAACCTGATGTGACAGAGCCCGGGGTGGCCTCGTTTACAGAATACCTTCTGCCACAATCCCCTTTATTCCGCCGTCCTCCTCATCGTCTTCATCACTCTCCCTGTCGACGCTTTACCGCCTCACTCGGTCTCCGGGTTTCACTTTTGTCATCACTTTTTGGAGCTGCGCCCTCATCCTTTTGCATGTTACCGCTCCGGGAGTTTTCATTTCAAACCATCAAAAGAAATAATAGTAAAAGAAATTAATAATGAAGAAAAATTATCCCCGGCTCACGCTCTCTTCGCCAGGAATTCTGGCCTGTTAATGTGCACTTTGTGTGTGTGGTTTATTGTTTATTGTTTATTTATTTGGATCCCCATTAGCTGTCAGTAATTTGACAGCCACTCTTCCTGGGGTCCTTTTAAAATTATATACATACACAAAACATATGAAATGATGACATCATAAGAACAATTATACATTTCAAATGAATTCACCTTACATTACAATCTGTTACCCAAATATTCATGAATTAAGACTTTCAACGAAATATTTTTTTAGAAGTGTTTCAAATGCACCTTTCGTAATAGCAGTCAAGATGTTATGGGGCAGTTTGTTCCACAGAGTCTGTGGTTCAGTGTGTGTGTGTGTGTGTTTTTGTGTCAGGTTTCTACAAGGGGTGACAAAAATGTGGCCAGTTTATTTGATTTTTTTCCATTATTTTTCCTTTTATAAATGATATATTCAAGAAATGAACAGTGACAACTGAGCGGACTCATTTATAAAAATGCATTTAATCCTCAGCTCAAGTGTAAAATGTGCCATGCGCTGAAAGATAACACCGTGCATAAAGGCACCCGTGGGCAGACTTTCCCTTTGTAATGCACAGTCCACATGCACATTTGCAGGCATGGATCGGCCTCATATTCTCACGCCCACCTCTAAAGTGGGGCTTCTTTATGTCGAGGCAAAAGTGGAATGCAGACCAAGTTAACTTTCAAGCGAGCTGTTTCACTGGGCCACCACTCCTGGAATCTTACCACAAACGACATCAAAATAACAGTACTGTGCATTTTCTGTGCCAGTATCTGCTGGCCAGATTCCGGTGAGGCTCCCGTTAACACTGAATGGTGGTTAGGCTTTCAGAAACTGTTAAAATTTCGCTATAACTACTCACTTTAGCATTGTATGCTATCATAGGATCTATGTAAATCACTGATTGTTTTATTTCCTTATAGAACTATATTTTGTGTTGAAGTCTGGCTATGTCTTTTTCTCTCTCTGTTGCATTAAATCCACGTCTTTAGGTCAACACAAACACACACCATTTGTTACCACATTCCAATGTTATCTACATGAATTAGGACCTGGCCTGTTTATGCCCAGAGGTAACTGGCCAATAGGACTTGGTTGTGTCCAATCCTCCTTTGAGGAGGCGGATTGAGCCCAGGAGATAATGCCCATCACCCAGATCTCAGAGACCCAGAGAGAGGTTTTTGTCTGTTAGAGCCCAGCTGATGTACTTAACTGTGTCCAATAAATGTTATTTTTGTACTTTTGGTCTACTCTGGTCTATTCTCGGGTTTCCAACTAAAGAATCGGGTAACAAAACTGCCTGCATTTCCTCCAGCAAAACTTTGGAATCGTACTCTGGCCCCTCGACGGGCGCTCTCCTGCAGGTTTTAGGTGTTTTTTCCGCTTAAACGGGTTTCTGAAAAACGTTGTTTTTGCACAGGCCTGCTGATGGCGTGTTGATGTGAATCGGGTGTGTCGGAGGACCAAAGCCTGGCCCCTGCATTCACAGCTCTCCTGCTCTGCTCAGTTTGATCCCTCTCCAGTGTGAAACCCGCCTGATCCTGTTGTAATCGGTGGGGTTTTGTTTTCTCGAGTCATCGGCTCGTCATCGGGTTTTTTTTTATTATGTTTGCAACAGTCGTGTCTTTGGTCGTAAGAAGCACGCCCGTGATTTGTCATGGCACTTTTTGCTTTTGGTCACATCGTGTTTCAGTTTTTGTCTGGAGCTCCACTCACACACCTGCAGCTCCGTTTGTCCCCGTTCGCCTCGGCTCTTCCCACATCCTCGCCTTCACCGGCCTGCTCTTATTGTTCACGTTCATGGTCCCACCTTGTTGATTCTTAGGCTTTTGTTGGTTTAGTTTGCTGAGTTCTGGCTCAAATATTCTTTTTAAACAGCCACCACAGATCTAGACTCCTGAACTCTTTGTTACTGTTAGCTAAATCTAACTTGGGCAATGAACAAAATAATGAATTTATGGCGCTTACTTTTGTTGATGTTTTTTGTTAAAGCTTCCGTATTACATTACTTAACATTTCTTAACTAGGAAGCTTTAGACTTGAACATGCGTTGAACACAGGGCTTGTAGAAAATAAATAATTCAGTCAATACCAAAGGCAGATCCATCATATATTCAATTGCATGTGAGATTTCCATCACCTACATCCTCGTAGTTGTTTCAAATAGGATACCAAATACATTTTTTCTTTAGCTCTTCGAAGAAAAAGTTTAAGTTCTCCAGGCCACAGGTTCAAGTCAAGCCTGTTCATGAACATGACGCCATTTGTTTGGCAGCACAATTCATAAAGAATGACACGTTTCAACGGTACGGAGCAACTGGTCTCATCCGCAGAGCAACTGCCGCATAACGATCACTGACTTACACGAGGGAGGTCTAATAAATGCCATTTCAGAGCAGCGCACAACACTCCGCTCTGCTTTTCTCATCCCAGACGTCAGGAAAGCAGCCCGTGATGCACCTGACCTTCTCTCTCTTGATAATCAGCCTTCCCGCTGAGCTAAAAGTACCACGCATTAACTCGAAGCTTCCGTGAATATAAATGGTTCGCGTTAACAAAGATCAGAGCCACGCCAGATGACTCAAAACTCCTTCAAACCTTTGCGGAATTCGCAATGCGTTTGAGTCCGAGCGAAGTGGAACGCAGAACAATCTTCTGTGCTTTTCGAGGTCTTATTATGAGGCTGTTAGAGCAGTCGGAGGAAGGTGGCATTTCACCCACGGGTGCATTAAGCGTGTTATTGCCAAAGGTGAAAGTTGTGCTTTTCCAACTAATAAAAAAAGCCATCGGGCTCAGGAAGCACGGGGGGCTTTTCACGCTCTTGTTTCCAGGGCGGAAAATAAAAAAGGAAGATATCTGTGGCAGGCTAAAGCCAGAAACCCTAAAGCCATCCGCCTGTGAGCAGCCCTGGTTCATTAAATTACAGCATTAATCATCGCACTTTTTCACAGGTTTGAGAGTTGTAACACCACACGCAGAAACCATTAAAAAACTGATTTAACATTTGAACTGTTTTAGTTTAAAGTAAACATTTTTTTAAATAAAATATCTTTCCTATTTAGTTTAGAGATATAATTGCTAATCAGAGACACTTTTGTCATCCCCTTTTTTTCCAATTTACTAGTAATTTTATTCTGCTAGAGCTGGAAAGCAAAGAAGCTTGAATCTGAAAAACACTATTTTTATAACACAACTGTCAAACTCACAGACACCTTTTAGCTGGTTGCCTTAGTTACATGCATCTACAAGGTGCTACTACAAATTAGAATAACTTTTTGGTTGTCTTTTGGGAAACAACATGGATGAAAATAGCAATCCTCCCTAACCCCGATGAGACCCAAGTCTTCTTCTGGTTTTCTTACTTCTTTTCACGGTGGCCTTGATCTGGCTCCTTCTTTTAATGGCTTTGTATAAATGCATACAACCAGGTATTTTCCATTTGCTGTGATGTGGATCCATAAAAAGGCAACAGAGTTTAATTCAAATTGAAAAATCAGCCTGATTCGGCTTTCATTAGAGAGCGGGCCTTGTTATAGCAAATGAGCATCCTTTTCATCATCGCGGCGGAAAGCGTTTTTACCTCTGACAGGCAGCAGCTGCGTGTTCTTTGAGCGTAATAACTGGCTGGATCCACTTAGACAAATGCCTCATGGGCTTGTTCATTAGGAGGACAGTCTCCTTAATTGCCCGCATTGCATTGAGAAAGTGTTGCGAACAAATAGAGGACACAGGCCCAATGCTTTTGATTTGCCTTCCGTGCACTCTTAGTTTTATTAATGGACTTTTGAAAAGAGGTCGGATTGGTTTTGATGCTTTGACGTTGACAGTTTACCCAGTTTCCCCCCCTCCTTTACACCTGTTGTCGTATGTAAGAGTGCCTTGGATTATTAATATTCTGTTCTCTCAAATTATTTCCGTCCTCCACTGGCTCGGATAAACTGCTAATTCTGCAGTGGCTTGGCCCAAAGTTTGCCACAGATCGCAAGTGTTTGGAAGGTGATGAGCCAAAAAGGCTTTCCACGCTACTATTCAACCCCAAAAAAGGAAAGAAAATGTTTTTTAAAAACTGCCACGGAGGCTTTGTTTTGTTTTGAAATTTGTGCAGTTTACAGGAAGGCCTCAAGCGTGTTTTGTGTTCTTATTGTCTACAGTCACGCACTGGAAAGCGGCTTATCGCTGCACGCGAGCGTGGAGCTCCAGAGCTCATTAAAAAAAAGGAGCATTTCATTGGTCCAGCGGTGGATTTGTGTTCTCCCGTACCAAAATAGATCACCGTGCCTGCCAGAGTTGTTTGTAATGACAATGAAAATCCCTTTTACCTTGACGTGAATAAGTGTTCCATCCTTTTTCCTCCATAACGCCTTCATTATTTTTCCCAACCCCTCAGCAAACAGGTTTTGTTTGATAACCACCAAACATACTCAACACATGGCCAGAGTCATTTTTTCTCAGGAAGACCCTGTGAAAAGACAAAGAAAGAAGCTCATTTGTCAGCGTATTTCTAAAGTGTTTGTGTTCGGACGGTTTTAAGAAAAAGAAAAAAGTAGCCCCTGGATACTCGGTGATGAGGAATGGGGAAATTTTCTTCTTTTATACTAAAAATGGACCGACTTCCCACTCCTCTGTTTCCGCAGATGCCCCCCAGAAGGACGGTGAAGATCCAGCCTCGGACCCCGCCTCGTCACTGTTCAACCACTGGGGCCGCGACCTGGGTCCAGAGAGCCGAAGGGCCGCCCTCAAGAAGTTCCGTTACTACGGTTACAACGGCTACCTTAGCGACCGCATTTCCCTCACGCGGCCGATTCCAGATCTAAGGCCGGACGGGTGAGTTGGTTGGTTTAAATCCCGATATTTTCAGCCTCTGTAGAAGATTCAGAAAGAGCCTCTAAAGCTCGGCCTTTCCCTCCAGATGCAGGAACATCTCCTACTCGTCAGACCTTCCTCAGCTCAGCGTCATCTTCATCTTCGTGAACGAGGCCCTGTCCGTCCTGCTGCGCTCCGTCCACACGCTGGTCCAGAGGACTCCGGCCCACCTGCTCAAGGAGGTCATCCTGGTGGACGACCACAGCAGCAGCCGTAAGAACCCCAACGTCCCCACGTCTCGTTTTCCAGTAAACGCTGAGTCAGCATGGCCCCCTTTTTTTTTTATTCTCTTTAAATATTAGGCTCAAACACACTTTTTATACTGATTTATTCACCCCGCTATCACCTGAGGAGCAAATTTAGCTCGTATTAAGAGACATTTCCGCTATTATTTATAGGTTTGCACGATTTCCATTTCATTATTTTTTAAAAATGGCCGTCTTATTGGTTTTTCTAATTTGGTTTACACCAAACCTGTGCGAGAGGGAATGAGTTTTTCTTCCCTGTGTTTCTTTTAAAACTGTGTGGCCTTAAATTTCCCCGGGGTAAACTGATAGAGAGACCAAATAACTCTGCAGAGCGGGCTCACCTCTTGATGCCGGTGTGATATAGGGGGGTTGATTATTAGAGGCAGAGTGCATCTGGACCAGATTGTCTTCCGGAAAAAAAAAAAAAAACACCTCTCCCCTCGTTCCTTTACAAACAAAACTATTAATGCCAAAAAGGCTTTCGTGTTTGGTCCAGTAGCCGCAATTCTCCTCTGAAAAAAATGGTGCTTCTCAAATATTATCGTAAAAAGAAAAAAAGAGATTCATCCCCTGAAAGCTGGCACAGGTAATTATTTTAACACATCAGGAGGCTAATCCACAACCAAATTCACAACTATATTTGTGGATTTCTAAGATTGTAAGTTGGGAAGTTTGTCAAATGCCACATGCATCCAGATGCAGACTATACTGCATCCATGTAGAGCCCAAAATTAATTACGAACAATACGAATTTGTATTACATGACAGCGTTATGACTAAACAATTAGCACGCTGTGTTTGTTGTACCCACACATTGCTTTCATCCCTCACTAACACATGGCTGAATTTAATCTGGTGTCAATTTACTTTCATCTTTGCATCATTTATAACTGATCTTGCATCTCGTTATTGAGCAGATCATTTGGTCAGTTCGGTAGCCTTTTAAATCACAAATTGTTTATCCAAGGCCAAATAACTTGCTTCTTTGTGATGAGACATTTTGTCTGTTTCTCCATGTGTTAAATCAAAAATTGGATCCGTTTGTGCATTAAAAGGCAGAAGAAAATAACTTTAACGCCACCTGTTAGAGATTTTTCTAGAGTTTACCACTTTGATTAAGCTATTGCCGTACATACTGAAGCTAATTAAACTCAGATAACTTCTAGAGTTAGTCATCACTTTACTGGGTAGAGATACAGAGTCGAATAAATGCTCTTAAGCAGTGACTCACGCATCGCCTTTTTCACTTAATTCATATTTTGTGTGGACTGCTAACAAAATTGGGACTCTTGTCGGCATTAGCCGCATCACTGGTGTACAAAAACATTAAGAACTTTTTAAAGCAGTTACATTTAAAGCCTGGATTTGTCTCCGTGAGGGCTCGCGTTAATAGCTGTGTCCCATTCACTGGAGCGTATTGTATTTCACCGTGGCCAAATCTATAATTACAATTATGAGAAATATGTCTGTGCTCCCGCTGCCTGCACATTTTACGGGCCCTTCTGTTCTTCAATAATACAATATATCAGAGTTTAGTTATGGTCGCCGCTCACGCTTGAATGCTGATTAGTGGAGGAACCAGATAAATACATTATGATTAACCCAAAAAATGATTTCTCTGCTAATGCATTACACGAGTTACAACTTAATAATTCGTGTGGAAATAAGACTTAACGCCTTCGCTTTGCAGTGAATCACAACCATGTGAGGGTAATTCACAATGGATGTAAGTGAAGAAAGAAGCAGGCAAAGTTCAAAAGTGCACCTCACTGATGGATAATGGAGTAATTAAGACAAATTAGGCCCCAGAAAGGCAAAAGTGGAAAATCAGGAACTATTATTATGCACGACCACCAGCATAGTTAATAAGCTGAGAAATTCAAGGTGGTGTTCATATTGCCTTAATGCGCTTGTTAAAGATCACTGAGCCACGAAAAAACCTCCATTAATTTCACAGTGACATTAAATGACTTTAAGTCATTCCTTTACTTTTTCCTTCCGTCATCAGAAACTTTTAATGCTCCTAATTTCCCCTCGCTCAGCTCTTCCAGCTGGCCGCACAGCGGGAGTCTGGTTTTTCGTAAATATTACGCTCCAGCAACTTTGTAAAGGCGTGTTTGAAAGAGAGAGATAACAATAGGGATACCGTCTGATGTGAACATGGAGGACTAACATATTGTGCCTTCTAAGTACGAGAATTAAGAAATAATCACGTGTTAGAAAATAGAGATTTGTATGTTTTAAGATTATTTAAAGAATGTAATTGTGTTCCTAATGTCTGGACCTGGATAAATGACTACTTATAAACAGACAGTTTGACTAATATTCTGCATAGCCACTTCATGACATTGTAATTAAACTGGGAAGTGTGTTCAGGCAGAGGCTCCTCCAGGTCCTGTGACCATTCCTGAAACAGTAACATGCAAAATCCTTACCACATGCAGGAAATTGGGATTAATAAAGAAGTGAAGAATTAACCTCTAAGTGGAAGCATTTTCACATCAGAGGGGAAGGCTGACTCAGCAGGATCTGAGCAGGGATACCCATCCAAAGCTAAGTTTATCTTATACAAGATTTTACCATCTAATAATTTCTATCAAAGATAATAAAGAGCCAATATAACATATATTTGCTTATTTCATTTTCTATCTTAAATATGTGTGAAGTGAAGGGTTAGAAATCAAGATTTACCTTCTATTAATGCCGGGATGAAGTTAATAATTTATCAATCAAAATTGAGGTTTTAAAATCCCAGCCATAATATTTATCAATCCTAAATGACAAATGAGGACACCTACTGTTTGAAATGTGATTAGAAATGGGCAATGGTCAACCATAACGTTCACGTTTCAGTATGCCTTGGATTTCCGGCCTTTTGGGAGGTCCATTAATTACACAGAATACAATAAGAATATGATCACATGGATATTTTCTATTTGTGACACAATTATAGCTTAAAACGAACAAAAAATACATTCATTTATTCCTTCCAAATGATGAAAATAAGTATTTTTTCATACTCAAACCCCCTCTAGTTAGTGAGACATCCTCCACCGTTCTGGCCTGACATCTTACCCTGATTCACTTGATTTATCCAATTGATTTGGAAGTCCTCCAGCTATATGTCCAATTGTGTAATATACACGCGTGTGCATTTTAGTGCATTAAGGAGCTCCTCCTGGAATCGTAACTCCTGTTTAAACAAGCCCGTCTTTCTCCGGGGGGGGGGTCAGCGGCAAACCGAGGCTGATTAAAGGAAAAACAGAGCGGAGATGCCAGCTTTAGCCCGTGGGCAGGATTACACCACAGAGGAATCAAAACGAGGAGCTGAGGATGTTTTTTTTCTGTTTGGCTGTGGGTCTCTGGGCCTGTGCTCTGTCTACCTGACTGTTCACATCAGGAAATCACTCAAGAATGAAGAGAGAGAAAGAGAGAGAGAGTCGAGAATAATAAAAAAAAACAAGAGCGAAAGTGCTTGTCTTCAGCTTCTGTATCTGTCGGGGTTTTTCTTTGGTCTTTTTTGTTTGATTTATTTTTCTTTCCACACCAGCAGCTGAGCCTAAATCAGTCGGTTATGTAATTCCATGTCTTTGGCACACACCTGTGAGCATAAACCTCCTTAAACAAAGCTTAATACTACCTGAATACTACTAGTATATGAATAATTTCAATTCAATTCAATTTTATTTATATAGCGCCACATCACAACAACAGTTGTTTCACAGCGCTTTTCAAACAGAGCAGGTCAGACCCTACTCCGAAGTTATTTACAAAAACCCAACAATTCCCACCATGAGCAAGCACTAGGCGACACAGGCAAGGAAAAACTTCCTTTTCACAGGCAGAAACCTCGAGCAGAACCATGGGCCCAAACTCAGATTTTTTGTTATTATTTGAAACTCTGAAAATGTCAGGATAATGTTTCCCGACTTTGCAGGTTCAGACAGAAAGAGGAGGCCCAGAGTTAAAGAGCAGCAGAGTGAATTTGGCTTTGCCATAAAGCAGCCTTGCAGTTTGAGTTTCGGCTGGACCGAGGTCGGCTTCTTCTGTTACGTGCTAGGATAATTATGTCCCTTTCTCGTGTTACCACCATTTCAATTATGTATTGTTCTCCTTCAAGGTGAGAGGCTTTCAGGACTCACATTGAGGTGCGTTGTCTCTTTTTTTTTTGGAGCTATGGCCGTTGCATTTCACAGCCACAGAGCAATCTGTCATCATAAGCAGGTATCAAGGAGCTTTTCCAATACCAAGCAGTGCTCCTGTGAAGAGTAAACTGCACTGTTTGGCTCAAATTTTATATGAAATCCGAGTATTTTGTTCAGAAAAAAGGAGAAAAGAACGGTGGAACTCATGTTCGTGGTTTTCATGGCTTTGTTCTGGACTGCGGTCTTTCAGCTGCATGGCTGATTCTGAGTTGCCGTTTGACTCTTGTGCAGCCTTGAGTTTTATTGGCTTCTTTGTGGCCGCACCCTGTGGGTAGCCTCGGCCAGATTAAATGTCCGTGCGGAGTATCAAAACCCCTTTGTGTTTCAAAAGCAGTGCTTTTTAAAAGCGAGTCGTGACAGGATTGGGTTGAAACGTAAGACTTTGGTGGCGAGCGCACACAAGCACGCCCCTGTTTGGACCTTTTTTTTCTCGTGTCCGGTGGGGCCGAGCTGGTTTTTTCTGGAGCTTTGTTGATAAGATGCCTCAGAGAGTGTGTCTGTGTGCTCGCTTTATGTCCAGAGGAACTGAAGGAGCACCTGCAGACCTTCGTGGACGAGACCAACGGTCAGCACGGGCCCGGGTTCCTCAAGGTGGTCCGCCACGAGAAACAGGAGGGGCTGATCAGGTCAAGGGTCAGCGGCTGGAGGGCGGCCTCGGCCCCCGTGGTCGCCCTGTTCGACGCGCACGTGGAGTTCAACACCGGCTGGTGAGTAGAAGGCCTCGCCGACTAGGGTTGTCAAAAGTATCGATACTTAGAAAAGTATCTATACTAAAATGTTGTATCCGGATACGATACTCATTTTCAAAAGTACCGATACCACCGCCCCCCTTCTCTCTGATTTATTTATGTATTTATTTACGTTGTTTATGATCGTTAGCAAGACGTTAGCCTTGAACTGCTAGCTGCGGCTAATGGCTAATAACAACGCGCCAACAGTAATCAAGTACATATTCAACTCCGCCCACATCCAATCGGCCATTTTTATTACGTCACCAATAGGAAGATCCCAGGCAAGAAAATCCGAATTGCCTCATGGCAATATAGACAATAATTTAAAAATGGTTAAATTAATCTTTCAAACGCTGAATTAAACTCTATCCATAACATTATGTTAAAAATAGTGTATGTTAAATAGGTTTGTACAAAAAGTCCAAGTTTAACCCAAAAAATATTTATTTCTCACAATTATGAAGGGTGGAGGGTTAGGGTTAGGGTTAGGGTTAGGGTCATTAATGCGGGCCACCAGTCACCATAACATCAGTTACAGGTCAGTTTGAAATGAAAGACACTAACCTGTCAAAATTCAGTTCAATTTTGGGGTCTTTGTTTTTATCCTTGTGGTATCGGAAATGGTATCGGTATCGAGTTGAAAATTTTAGTTTCGTGACAACCCTATCGCCGACAGCTCCAAACGTGTTGCTAAGGCGGTTTTATGCATCGATCAGAGCTCGGGGCTCGAATTTCTCAAGATGATGAATCATACTGGTGTTACAGGTCAAGGTGAGACGTTTAAGACGACAGTTCAAGTCTTGCTTTTTTGTTTTTTATATAGTCCCATTTTATATTATATAGCTCTATAAAAATAGCCTCAGGCCAAAGTGATAGACTGCTTTAAAACTCAATATTATAAATATAATTCTGCATGTTAGGTTAACCCTTTAAAGCCTGATCCAAGAATAAAACAAAACAGAAAATTACTTTTTTTTTTGGTTTGAAGTCTTTATTTGGCCTTTTAACAAAATATGTAAAAAGAAAAAACAGAAATACATTTTTGATATTAATAATTTATTACTATGCGATAAGTCAGGATTATTTTTTGTGTAGTCTTATCAGGTGTATCTGATTGTGTACAATAGAATTTTGAGCAAAGTTTTTACCACTAAATTATGCAAAAGGTGTCAGACGCAAAACATTTGAGAAACCGTATGAATCAAATATGATACATTTGGTATTACAGGGTTAAACAATAAATACACACATAAGGGTTCAACCCCCAGCATGCCTAAAACATCCTTTACGTGTGCATTTACTGGTGTTTATTTCACTTTGAGATGGCCGAATTTGCCAGGCTGGTGGAGTGACTGACTCCATTTGGCTCTTTGGAGTGATCCCATCTTTTATTACAGTCAAGTTGACCCCCGTGGGTCTGCGATATGAAAGGCCCTTACAGTATCCACCGAAAATGTCTGAATGTTCCGACTGAGAGCGTGGTGTGTCCCGGTCCAAAAGACGTCGTTCACACAAAAAAAATTCCCAGAATCAACGTAAAATAATTATTTCTGTGTTAGATTCATTTGCTGAAAAAACTCTCTCCCCCCCTGAGAGTTGTGTTTAATTCAATTAGATTCAACTTTATTCATGTGGCTCCAAATCGCGGCAAATGCAAATCTCTACGTCCAATTCAAGCTCATTGTAAAACAATCAAAATCCAATTAATTCAAGTTTCTCTCGATTCCAAATACGTCCAGTTCATTCAGAGCCAATTAAAAAGGTAACTAGCTAAGGAAATGTTCATTATGGTGCCCTTGTGTTCAGGACAGATATTGCAAATCATTGGCATAAACTCACTGGAATATTTTCCTTTTTCCTTAAGCAAATATGCTGATTTTGTTTTGGCCCCACGTACGTGTTCCCGCTGCTGGA